GTGATCCTTTGTCTGGTAAAAAACCAGCCAAAAATATCTGAAAGTACAAACACTTGTGCCTTGTGCCTTCATTTTATTTGCTAAAATGTAATACATGGAAGCAGTAATCAGTAGAAAATTTTAAAAAGATCAAGAGAAACAGCAGCTGGTCAAATAAGAAATTGGATACCAGTAGAAGGTAAAGTGTTGCTTTTATCACTTAGTTTGGAGATTTCAGTACTGGTAACTCCTAGATAATATATTTTCTGATCAGCTAACAGTCCTGCAACAAAAGTTATCACTTTGATCCTATATGATAAAGAAAATGTTTGATAGAAAGCAAAAACTGACAGAAGGCCTTTCAGTTTGTTTGTAGAAAAGGCTTTCAAGAGAACGTGATCTTAAAAAACATAGTTTTGAGAAAATTAAGTATCTCAGAAGTGAGTCACTGGAGAAAATTACTGAATGGTCTTTGGAAAAATCACAGATAATTTTTTTTGTGTAAATTTGGCAAAAGACTGACCCTATATAGAAACCGTTTTTGGTAAAAAAAAAAAAAATACACCAAAACCAGAAAAAATAAGTAGCAAGAAGGACAGGGACACCAAGGGACTGTGTCTGCAGGCAACCCATGCTGGGGCAAGGACCCCCCTGAGGCCACCAAAGTAATATTTTCACCACTGCAGACGGCACATAGTTGATCTCCAGAGTTTTTCCTGATTACCTCAATCCTTATGAAAACTTTGCGTTAATTAGTGCCATTAGTGCCCTACCTTTTTGTTAATTTGGAGATGTGGAAAGGCCTGATGTAGATTTTTACAGTAACCTTCCATTATTCAAAAGGAGAGTCATATGCCTGTAGCATAGGTAAGCCTACTCATGCTGCCTTGTCTTGAATAACAATAAAGCCAAAAAGACAGAGAGTTCAGCTGTTGAGCTCACTCCTCCTTTTGTTAGCTGAGTGAACCGGCATAAGCCAGCTCAAAGCCAGCTCAGCTGTGTATTTCTTCTGCTAAGGCATCTGCAGTTGCACTCAGCTGTATTCTCGCTTCAGGAGAGACAAAATCACACAAGGAGAATTGAGTTCATGGGGTCTGTATCTGCAGTGGAAAATTTTCAACTCTGGGATGAAACACCTCTTGTCAGAGAGGACATTTAAGCAGGAAACCTCTTCAACTTCCCTCTTCCCTTACACATAGCCTCCTGAAAGTAGGAAATTGGCTGATGTAGTTGCCAAGACCAGAGAAGGGCCTCAAATGTCATCTATCTGGACTTCTGTAAGGCCTTTGACATGGTCCCTCACAATATCTTTCTCTCTACATTGGGCAGATATATATTTGATGGGTGGACAGCTCAGTAGATGAGAAATTGGTTGGACAGTCACATCCAAAGACTAATGGTCTAAGGCTTCATGTCCAGCTGACATCAGTGACAAATGGTGTCCTTCAGCGGTCCGTACTGGAATCTGCGCTATTTAATGTTTTCATCACACGCATGGACAGTGGGATTGAGTGCACCTGCAGCAAGCTTGCGGAGGACACAGAGCTGAGTGGTACATTGACAACCTGAAGGATGGGATGCCATCCAGAAAGACCTGGACAAGTTTGAAGTGGGACGTGGGACCCTAGGAATTTCATGAAGTTCGACAAGGCCAAGTGCAACATCCTGCACATGTGTTGGGGCAACCCATCAGACTGGTGGATGAATGGATTGAGAGCAGCCCTGCTGAAAAAGACTTCAGGTGCTGGTGGCTGAAAAGCTGGACATGAGCCAACTGGGCTGCATCAAAAGCAGTGTGGCCAGAGGTCGAGGGAGATGATTCTGCCCCTCTGCTCTGCTCTTGTGAGACCCCACCTGGAGCACTGCATCCAGATCTGGGATCATCAGAATAGAAAAGATATTGACCTGCTGGAGAGAGTCCAGAGGAAGCCATGACAATGATCAGAGGGCTGGAGCGCCACTCCTATGAAGACAGGTTGAGAGAGCTGGAGCTGTTTAGCCTGGATTATAGCAGCTGTCCAGTACTTGAAGGGGGCCTATAAGAAAGACAGAACAATCTTTTTAGCAGGGCCTGCTGTGATAAGACAAGGGATAACGGTTTTAAACTAAGAGATGGTAGACTGGTTTTAGTTTGGACTGGATATATGGAAGTAATTTTTTACAATTAGGGTGGTAAAACACTGGAACTGCAATAAAAGCTTAGAGGAATATTTATGGTCTTTGCAGAAGCATTCAGTCTTTGTCTACTTAGGACTAACTCATGTAACTAAGGGCTGATGACCCTGCAGTAGTGCTGGGTCTAGAAAGAAACACATGGCCTAACTCTAGTACAAATGTGAGTTGTCACCTAATCTGAGAATGCCACCCAAACCCAAATCAAAATTAGTGGTAACCTTTCTAAAAAAAAGAAGAGACTGAGGAAAGGGTATCTGATTTTTCAGTAAGCCAGGTAGGTGGGAGAGCAGAATGGATAGACAGGTGGCAAGTATGACAGAATGAAGAACTGACTAAGAATTTCAGAGGTCATTGGAGGAGCAGGTGAGAATGTGGAAAAAAGTGAACCAGCTGAGTGAGACACGGTGTGCACCAGTTGTGAAAAATCTGTTGGATGCTGTACCTCACCAAAGCCTTTTAAAGAAATTAATATATAATGACATAAAGGAAAACAAATCCTTCATTAATTAGTAACTGAATGAAAGGTCAGAAATGAACAGTAGGAATAAATAATAAGTGGAAGGGAAGTTTTCAGTGATTTTCCAGAAAGTTGCTGTCCCATGTTAAGAGGGGCATGCAGTGAAATAACAATGCTTATAAAAACACATATGGTTATTTAATATAATAAAAGCTAGGCCATATATCACAAAGAATTCCTAAGTGACTGGTCAATCAAGTGACAGATGGCATGCCAATTTGATACATATACAAAAAAATGTGTGCCTGTGGAGAAAAAAAATCCCAATCACATATGTACCACATGGGTAATAAATGAGATGTTATTGATCAGGCAAAAGATCTTAAGAGTCATTGTGGGTAATCCCTTTAAAACATGCCTGCTCAAGAATGTTCAAAATACCAATTAGTATGCTAGGAAATAAAAAAATGAGGAGTTATACAATAAAATCTGTAAAAGCATGACCCGTATGACGAAGAGAAGAAAAATAGTCAGGATTATTCTTTACTGAATAGTCCTATTGATATCATCTTGCTAAAATGTCATACTAAATGACCATTATTCACTTCCCCTCTTTACCATCCCCCTTTCCCCCCCCAAATATAAGAAATAATTATGCCCAACTAAAATATCTGGCAGAACTTTTAGAAAAAACAAAACAGGAATATTTCAGCACAACCATGGGACTCCTTGCTAGAGCATGTTTTAGGTAACAACTTCTATCAGTTTATAGATCCAGGAATTCTTTCAGTCACCCCATAAAGAAAAATTCAACAAAGTCTTTTTAAAATTATGAATACTTCTGGAACAATAGAGAAAATGTGCCTGGTTACACTGTCAGGACTCTGAAACCCACTGGGACAAAACAGCCTGCCTTTAAGCTAGTAAATTCCTTTTTGCCTCCAAAATTGTCTAGGAGCATACAGGTCAGCAGGGAGCCAGGCAATAATGCCAGGCTGTACCCTGCTGCTGGGATTAGTACAGGCAAGCTTGTCTCAGTGCCTGGGAATGTGCCCATGCTGTTTAATAGGTAAGAGCCTGGGAAGCCTCCATCTGCCAGAAGCTGAAAAGGGAAAGTCTTCCTCTGCTCACCTTGTCTTTCTCTTAACAGAGATAGGCTCCCGTGCTGGCCTTATCCTGGAGCTGAGTATCTACAGCGAGTTCTCAGCACAGGAGGGACAAACCCAAAAACTACCCGGAATCCTTTAAAAATATTTTTAAAATACTGAACTATTGGGATTTCCCCTCTTTTAAATGAAAACTACCACATATTCTTTAAGGCAGGTGGGTAATTAACCTGAGAACCTCCAAGGCAGTTGTGTTCATATTGGTTGATCACATGGCATTTTTTAAAGCTAAACTACTAATATATGGCATAACATGTTAATCAGCATATACTTCAATACAGTATGTTGCAAATATAAAAGAAACACACACACTTTTATTAAAGCTTTGCAATGCAGACACAGAAATTATGTAATAATATCCTACTTACTGTAAAGCACTACCAATGAACATTCAAGCCTTCTGGGAAAAATAAAAAAAAACAATGACTTTTTCTTATTTTTTGCTAATGCTCTGTTAATAAAATTTGTTTCCTCATATCCTTAAACCATCAAGGCTAAAACATTAATACTGCCAGAAATAATTATAGTCAGCTTGCTCAATTAATTGTTGGACAACAGAATCAGAAAATCTTTAAAAATATTTGACTGTCTGTTGGCAAGCCACAATATTTTGCCTGTGTACTTCATTCCATTCTAAGTAGAGAAAAAATACTGATTTCAATTAATTATGTAAATTTTGTTAAAGCTGATGAACTTTTGACTAGTCATAAATCTGCAATTCTAAGTTTCCTCAAACATGTTTTTTATCCATCAGACTTTTCAAATAGTCATTCAATATTTTTAAATTTTGTAAGGTGGTTGTATGTGAGCATGTCAAATTGCTCCAAACACATCAGACAGTAATGGTGTCATATGATGTTAATCTATTTACATCTCTGGTGTATTTTACATTGTTTTTGTTATTTAAGTCATACTCCTGTGTGGTGTAAAACAATATGTTAATTTCTTCCAAGTGCCTGTCTTATGCTGTTTAAAAATTAGATGCAAAACCTCTTAGAATGGCGATGACTGTGTTTTAAACTTTAATGATGACTATGAGATGATACAGCTAAATTAATACAAAATTAAACATTAAATCCATGTGACAACAGAGTGGAATTTTCAACAGAAAGGGAAAAAAAAATAAGGCACTTCCCTTATATTTAGTTTCATATTCTGATATCTAGACTACACATTTAGCTGGAACACAGTGATGAAACTCAAATAATCCTTTAGTTTACAACTTGCAAGTATTTGGCCTTCAATATTTATTATGCAGTCTATGGCAGAAACAATTTCACATTAAACGCTTATTGTTACATAGATTTTAACAATTAAAATAAGAAATACATTTTGGCTGCAGAAAGAAAAAGACAAAAAACCTCCCTGTTCCATAGAGTTGTATTTTAGAATACACTTAAATTCATCAAAGTACATTTTCCCCTGGTTAACTACTGATGATTTATTTACAAACCAAGTAACAAACAATATCTAGAAAATACCATCGCACCACAAATTATCTACATGGATATTTCTATTTCTCATACTAGAAAACAGCTAAGGAGGCATTTACTGCAGTACAATGTTCTCTCCTGAAATCTTAATGTGTTTTAGCAGCTAATACAAAATGCAGATGCAGACTGTATTACACTAGTTAGAAAAGCAAAGATATTACAGGTTTGGTTAAGAAAAAATAGATATCTAGCAAAATGTAACCTTTTTGTTTGTTTGTCCGGGTTTTTTTTGTATTTGTTTTTTAAAAAAGGACTAATGCATTAACTGCTCCAAGCACTTCACATAGGGGCTGTTGATGACTAACAAATTGAAAATGTTGCTGACAGAGCAATTGAAATTTGAGAAACTACTTGAAAGAGAGGACATCATCAGCCTGTGCAAGCTTTGACAGGCTTATAGATACATTTCTATTCACAAAGGAATTTATGGTAATGTAGTGTTTTGGGGATAATTTGACAATCAATAACATGGAATACTTTCATTTACTCATCTCTTTTAGAAAAAATGATAGCTTGTTGTTTTGATTTTACTCTTTTCTTACATGAGAAACAGAAGGTGAAGCTTGGAGTTTTGGGGGTTTTTTTAAGTGATCACTGAAAGAAATATTTTTCCTTTGAAATTGCAATCCTGTAAGAGAAGACCTCTTGAACTGCAAATGTGTTGTTCTAGATGACCTTGTTAGACTTCAGCACGCAAATAACCTGCACAGGAAACACTTCTACAAATTTTAAGAATAAATAGAGTGTACCCAACAGTATTAAAACTTCATATCACATCATTTCTCATCATTAAAAGCTCACTTTCATTTTTCAAAGTAAGTTGTCCAGCCTTTGAATTTTTGTTTCCAACCTGTTTTAACACCACTGTAAACTTATCAAGAGCATGTCAGATTGCTAGAGGTACAACAGCTGTGTTTTAGACTTATGTATGTATTCCTGGTAAACATGACTGTTTTGAACACTGGAGCCTGGCAAGCCCCTGTATCTCTTGGCTCTGCTTGCTGTTATATTTCATGCTTCTATTCTGTGCAAAGTAGATGTGCTGCAGAAGCAATTTGTGACAGACTGGAAAAGCAGATGCTTTCCTCTGTGGTATTTTTTTGAGGGAAAGTATATCCTACACGTTCCCATAGCATACTGCCCAGACACACCGTGGCACTGGTGTGCAACTGCTTTGAGAGCCATGCAGCAGGAGACCCTGTCACGGCAGTGGAGTAGTTTCAGCTTCTTGAAGTTCCAACTGAAAGGAAAGAAATTGCAAATACAATGAACAGTTGCTTAGTATCTTCCCACCCACAAGTCTGTGTGTGTGTCTACATGTGTGCAGGTTTCTTTTAAGAGGAATTTATTTCTCATTTGCATCTACTGTCCTACTGTATAAAGCTGAACACATAGGGAGTAAGGCATAAAGACCATGACTTTGCCATGAAGTAACAAAACACAGAAAAGTTTCATGTCTGGCCTTCAAAGACAAAAAAACATTAGTAGGTCTGAAAATCGACTTAGAATTAGAATACTTTGTATCAAGCCAGTTGTTCTCTTTCTAGAGTGGAACTCTGTATGAATTTCACGAGTATGGAAAGATATCACTCCCTCCCTGTATGCTTTCTGTAGCAGTTAAAGAAGAGCTGGTATTTTAGCTGATACATTCTATGTTTCAGGATATTGTCTGACTTTTGGATTTTCAGTTCAAGTCCAGTTTAAATGCAGTGTGACACAGACTTACATCAGCAAACAAACCCAACAACCTCTCGGCCCTAGGTGTCCACAGTATCCATGTTAGGTTCAATCTGCATGCAGGCACAACAGCACTACAGATGTTTTCATCAAGAAAACCTGCTTACTGCAAAGCATGTCCTGAAAGTCCAGAATCCCTTTTTGCTGCCCAGCAAATGTTGTACTAGAACTTGTTGAAAACAGAGTAGGAGACACTGCAAATCAAGGGTTTATGGCATGGGCAGAAGAATCACAGATGAAACCTGAAGATTCACAAAGAGCCCGTGACAGTACGAATCAGCTAAAAAAGAAAGTTTGATTTTAAGGGTCTATTGAACTTCAACAAGTCTTTCATTGATGTCACTATCTTACCAGAAATGGGCTTCTTAACAAATCAATACCTTTAAATTATTATTGAAACAAAGTATAATTTACAAAGGAGATACATCAATTTTCTAAAAATACACAGAAAGGCCATTCTCTATTAAAACAGGTAGATGTGAATCTGCCAAGGTTTGGAGTTACAGAAACTGCCCAGCTTTTTCGTGTTTCCGCAATAGGACTCACCAGCATTTCCCATATTTGTTTGCAATCTCTCATATAGCACTGAGAAAACGGAAAAGTAAGAAATCACTTTCTTCATTTATTTAATCAAAGTGAAACTAGCTTTCAATTTTTCCTTGTTTCAACTTAAAAATAGCGTTTCTTGACTCCAATATCCTTTTTATTTCTACATGTGGCTGCCAAACCAAGCAACAAGGGCAAAGTTTTCAGGGTTGAGCCTTTGTTTACTGAACACATCTGAGGCCTCATTTTCAGCATATGAGGAGGATTTGCAGCTTCCACTAGGGCATTTAGACACGTCAGTAGTTAAGGAGAAAGCATCAGAAGCTAAAATTGCAAAATATAGTTACATAGGATGACTAAATAGTCCTGAAGATGTGCCTATACATAATTTGCTTAGTTGCTTCGATACATTCAGGTGAAACAGCTATAAAAACAGTTAAAAAACATGTCACAAAGAAACTAATTCATGGAAACAAATTTCTTGGATTTCAATAATTATTAATAATTGAGTTTCCTAATTATTTATATTTTTTGGTATTAACACATAGCAAAAATTTAATATATTTGGAAAACAGTTTTCAGGAAAAGTAATTAATTTTAAATTAAAAAAAACAAAACCTTTTAATCTCAGAGATAAAGTAATGCAAATAGTCTCCGAGCATCTGAAGTAAGAGCTATTTCAAAATACTTGCCAAGGTCTTTTATACGAATCAGGTTAATGCCAATGACATCAAAAACTCTCAACCACTTGCAAAAGCTAGTCTTTGGTCCTTATTACCTTACCCTACCAATACTGGGTCATACAGAAAAAAGTTCAAAGTAAGCAGTTTTGCGTTTTGAGCGTTTTTTTCAGGATTCCATCACTCCTTCTCCATGCAAATACACTTATAAGGCTGCATATGCCTCCCTGAACTAAAGTGAGCTGAGCCTTTATGCTCACTTCAGAACAGACGAACCCTATGCATTTTACTGCAGGAGTTAGTTGAGTGTAACGCAGCATACATCCCCCCACAGATGTGAAACACCTATCTTACAACACTTCCAGTTTTTTGCATGCCTGATTAGCCACTGTCTTTTATCCCTCAGAGCTGTTTGTCTACTGGGCATATACAATTTCTATAAATGCTCGCACCATCAGTGTTACGGATCAGATGTTGCTCTGTGCATTTGCAAGATGCTGCTTTTCTGTAGGAGTTTTGAACTGATAGAAAATACAGTTGTTCCTTCCACCAGTCAATGCTTATTTTTAAGTGCTTTAAGAGTGTTAGGCCTTATGTGATTGAGCCTTGCAGTTCTCATTAACTTTAGCAGGAGAAAAGAATTCTCACTTGGCAAAAAAGGAACTTGTAGAACATCTGTTTCTTAGAAAATTATGTGAAGTGTGCCTAGTACTATACAGCCCTGCCATTAGAATTCATACCAAATGCTCTCCAAGGCCTCGTCTTTACAAGAAAGACCTTGTCAGTATACTTCGATCAATACAGATATACGAGCTAGACTTTCTTGTACAGAAGGCACTTACCTGTGAAAAGAATACCCTGTCAATAGAATTTACAAAATCTGACTATCTAAGCAAACATTGTTTTGTCTGGGGATTTTTCTTTCTTTTTTCTTTTTTGAGAGCAAAAGCTGCATTCACTCTAGGGCTTTCTCTGTTTAAAATAATAATATAAAAATACTACATGTTACACTTTTAAGTACTACTCCAGAGAACCATTTTAGTGTAGATTAGTTCTACAATCTTATCTGTAATTCTGATAAAAGCAACAACAAAACTACCTCTTACAGAAATGTTTGCTGGAGAAAAAAGATAAATTAAGTTTAATATTAAGCTTTGAACATGGCTTGCTGTGTATGTGTTCTATAGACATTGTGGAGAGTGAGAAAGACTGCACCAAACAACTGCTGAACTGTAGTCCTGGGATAAGGCCCAGGTCGTCACTCAGTGAGCACAGCTGGTAGAAGTAAACCAATGGCAACAGCAGCAGCTGCTCAAGCAGGAACTGCAGGGATGGTGGTGAGGGAAGCGAAACTGTCCACTCCAAATTCTTTCAAATACCTGACCACGCAAAGAGACTTATCTGCCCATCTATGAGGACCTAAGCTTCCAAGTGTGGTCTTCTTCTCCTTGGCTCTGGGGAAAACTGATAACTTAGTTGCTAGGAAGAGCTACCAAAGTAGTCAAGTAACTTCTTATAGCTCTGTATACACCTTTCTTCCATGCAGATTGTCTCTTTGCTTCAGTTTCCATCCTTACTGCCTCACTTGGACCTCATTACTGACATTCCCCTTTCTTCCCAGCACTCTTCCTCTCACTTTCCTTTCCCTTCAGTGTCTTCCCTTTCCCTTCTCTTTATATATACTTTATTTCTTCTTAACTAACTTCATCACTATTCCCTGAATGGAAAAAAAAATCCCTAATCAACAAAGAATGCAACTATGAGACTAGCTTCCTTCTTATTGTCACTCTCAAGCTCACTTCACTGCTTGGTTCATCCCTGCCTCTGCAGACTGTCTCCCTTGTTGGTGTAGGTTGAAAGACCTTTGTGCAAAACATATTCTATTCTGTGTTTGCTCAGTGCTCAAGGAAATGGACTTTATTTCACCAGCCTCTGGCCAGTGCCACATTAATCTCTGCTACGGGTAGAAGTGTACAGGTCTCCTAAAAGTAATATAAAGATCCATAAGTAAATTTAGAAAATGGGTACATACACATCACACTTTAGAAAGTTGGAATTGTACTACATAAGAGACGCAATCCTGTTGTCGGACACATGCACAAAATTGACTCCAGCGAGGGTTACAAATAGATTATTAACAGATGAGTCTCTCTAATAATTTGCTACACCTAGTGAATACTACATGTATATACATACATACATATATGTATGTGCCTGTGCCAAGTTTGGCAGTTCTGCTCCACCATCAAAGTGTGTGTAAGACTGAGCAGGTGCTGATTTCACAGGCCATGGTTTGGCATGTATGAATCAGACAGTGGTGAATAAAAATACCAACTGCTGATGCTTAATAAAGCTCACTTTAGCCCTTCTCCCTTTAGACTGGTCCCTCCTCTTTTCTGGTGCAATTACTGTTTAGTCTGTTTGGAGATGGTAATGTTCAGATTTATGCTTTCTGGCAGCAGCTGAGTGGCAGGTCTGCAGCTGCTTTCACAAGAAGTCACTGAGTTCTGCACCTCAAGGAAACAGTCAGCTTTTGGCCTAAGTGGCAGCAGTGAGAAACTGGTGTGTGAGCAACCTTAAGTATATTGCTGAAAGGTGATATGGCAAGGAATGAACCAGGCTTATGCCTTTAGTTCTTCTTTTTAAGGAATTACAGAGACAACTCAAACTTCTAGTGCTTGTGATGTGCTTGAATGACTTTCGTGAATGTTAAGATTTGCTTTCATGCTTTGTTTGATGTTCACTTAAGGATGGGGATTGGAAATTCTCTGGACTAATTACAGGACCATGGACACTGAACATTTACAAAAGAGCTTCTTTGAAAAAGTAAGCAACCAAAGGCTGAATTAAAAAAAAAAATCTATTTCTCTTGGTATCTGATGTGTCATAAAACGTCTGCTTCTTAAAGGCTTTTTCTAGAAGGAAAAGGTATCTTAGTATAGCTAAAATGGCAAAATGGCACAATAGTCCTTAACATGTATGTATATATTTATGTCTATCTATCTATTAATCTATCAATATCAAAACCCACCTTAGTCAACACATATCTGATATAAGAACTGCATGTAGACAAGCTTTTGTCTACTTCTTGCATGTCTTTCAGGAAAAACAAGGCCAGGTAGGCCTTCTCTGTACATCAGTCAAAAGTGAACACACACAGTTTTTTATCTTTTTATTCACTGCTGCAATGGGAGAAGAAGAGAGATCTGTATTTTGTCGCACTCCTGTGTCTATCAGAAGACCAGGAATATGAACAGAGAAATCTGTGATTAACCTTCAATCAGTCACCTGTTGTAAACATCCTGCAAATGAAATGCTGTTTTGTGTGCTTTGTACATGCATGCACGTGGGACCCAGTCAGGCAAGGTAAACTTGAAAACCATTGACTTCTGAACATCAAGCAGGGTAGAGAACAACTAGCACCATGCAGGACTGGGTTCTCTGTGTATGCATACAGAAGTTTCAAATATAACCTCACAGGTGTTCAGACCTTCAGATAGCTACAAATCAGTACAGACAGTAACTTCAGAATACATGTCATCTCCAGGCAGGTGGCCTGGATCCAGAGATGACATCTCCACTGCTAGTCATACCTGATGGTTAGTCCTATCCACAGTGTTGGCAGTGGAAGCATGGTCACGAGTGTTTTGTCGGATTCGGGTGGAGTTTTGCTGCTCAATGGTTGAGGAAGTGGGGACGCAGAACTCTCTGAAACACCTTTTGAAATTCTCATCTAGAAATGCATAAAGGACTGGATTAAGGCAGCTATTTGTATACCCTAGAGCAATACAGAAGTGCCAGGAGACAGTCTGGAAAGTAGTTTCTGGGATGTTGACCAGGGCTTTAATGATGACATAAATGTGGATGGGAGTCCAGCAGACAATAAACACTGCCACCACTACAAGAACCATCCTTGTGATTCTCCGCAGGTTCCTATCCTTCTCTTTGGAGCCAGATAACATGCGAACACTCTTCAGGCGTAAAATCATCAGCCCATAACACACAGTAATTATCAGGACTGGCATGATGAAGGCAAAGATGAACACACAGATTTTCAGGAGGTTCTCCCAGTACCATGCAGGGTGGGAGAATGCAAGCGTGCAGTCAATCGAGCCTGGGGAAAAAGGAAAATATCAGAGAAGAACAAGGGGGTCAGTTTTTCATTTGCTTTTTTTAAAACTTTTTTAAATTAAATATCATAGGCAAATATGTGAAGATTTACTAAGTCAACATGTAAAATGAAGCAATCTGTGAGCTGTCATTTACACAAACATTGATAGGTCAGAGTGCTGCAAAACATGTATGGAGTTAGAAAAACAAAACCAAATTAACGTGTCCTCTTTTTCATTCTATTGCTTGGAATTAAATGTATATTGGAAAAGAAAGAGAGCTGAATAGTCACAAATGCTCAAACCTTGCCTCATTTTCACTTTCAAAACCTAGTGAAAAGAAAGATGGCTTAGCTATCATATGTGCTAAGAGTTTGGGCATTTCAGGGCAACGGGGAAGAAAATGACATGTCACCTGGCAACTATGCACCATGGTGGGTTTGGATTTATGTTGACGTGCTGTCACTGTCCCTTTATGGAAGGTCTTTGAGCACCAGTGATCCAGAATTGTGCTTTCTGCTCTGTATCACATCCTGCCAGACTACATGCAACATATCTATGACTGCCAGTCCCAGTGGGAATATTCTGGATAAAGTGCAGGCTTCTGTGCTGTAAGACAATGTATAACTGCCCCACAGCAGAAGGCAGGCAGGCCCAGATGCTTTTCCAAACACTGCAGTAACCATGTGGGGCAGCAAGACTTGCATGGACCACAGAAGGAGCTGGAGCTGCCTGTTGTAAAACACAGATGACACGTAGTGCTTGTCCAGTCAACTACAGCCAGCTGCAAAATTGTTGAAGGGGCCCATTTGCACTGATACATGCTTTATACAGATTGGAGGGCAGAAGCTAATTCAATGTCTCTACATTAAAACAATGCAGAAAGGAGTTTAAATGTTGGAATGAAAGCCAGACTTACCATGCCTGTATTTAGTAGTTGCCATGAACATAACTGGCAGGCCAATGGCAGAAGAGAGAATCCAGTTGCAGACATTGACAATTTTGGCATTTCTGGGGGTACGGAAATCAAGGGCCTTAACTGGGTGGCAAACAGCTACGTAGCGATCTACACTCATGGTGCAGAGTGTAAAGATACTGGTGAACATATTGTAGTAGTCTATGGATATAACAATCTTACAGAGGATGGTACCAAATGGCCACGTTCCCATCAAGTAATTCACACTCTGGAATGGCAGAGTACTTGTTGCTAGGGCATCTGCCAAGGCAAGATTGAAAATATAGATATTGGTGGCAGTCTTCATTTTCGTGTACCTAGAAAAAAAAATCAGCAACGCATGAATGACCATAGCTGACACTGCTAAATAAAATTGAGTCCAGTGCATCATCTATAAGAAACTTCTGTAAAATAACATGCTAGATACTGTCAAAGATCGTATTTTCTGCTTTTAACCAAATGACCTTGCTATGATTTACCTATATAATGTTGATAGTTCAGTGAGACATTAGCTAAAGGATGTAAGGAAGAAAAGATTAATTTAACTCGTGCTGAGGGAAAGGATATACACAGAAGAAACACAGAAGAAACAATATGACAGATGCTAAAGAACTAAGAAGCTGAAAAAAACCTGTACTTCTACATATCAGACACTGTACTACATGGATAGATTTTCTGTACCTGCTGATGTCATGCCAAATACCATAACCATGGTCTGTAGAAATAGAGAATTCATTTGTAGGTTGTGGAGTAGTAATGATGTAATTCCTCAAGGAATAAGTACGTAAGAGATTAGCATAATTATCAAGTCCATGTGTCTAAAAATTCAGGCTTTTAGACTTTCTCATTAGTTTATAATCACAGAATTCTAAAATAAGTGCTCTACTAATCTCAATGTCCAATATAAGTTCGACAGATGTTCCTTCAATCAAACAAGAAAACATCATATGCACTGAATGTATCAATAGAACCAGCATGCCAGGTGGATGCTGCAGACCTGCTGTTTGAGGTAGGAATGCTCTCTCTGCTCTGCTCTGCAGTGACTGTTTTGGCAGGAGGGTCTTCAACCTTCATTGCACTCTCTTCTCTCTGAGTCTGTGCTTTTATAACAACCCAAACCCTACTTCCTGAATTTTGAATATGTCACTCAAATCACAGCTGAGAAGGGAGAGCATTTTATATTTTAATTTGTATTTGCTAAAGATAGAGTCCAGATTCCTCCTTAGTTTAATCAAATTTTTGAAGAACATTTGCAAGTCCATTGTGTCAGCTAAGCAGCACTTGAGACCCACTTTTTATGTGGATGCTATAGATTTGCAGTGGTACAATGAATGTTTCACTTTAAGTAATGTTCCTGGCCACGCTGCTCTCCTTGCTGCTGAGATTGCTGGGCACTGTGGCTGCCTGGCTTTTGGTGCATCAAATAGCTTGCTCTTTTGATAAAACTTCCTTCTGTTTCTGCAAAACTAACAAGCAGGGTATTTGATCAAACATTCAACAATTTATAGAATGATTTGCAAGAAGAATAGCCCATTTGAAAAGATCTGTCAAGGAATCTGCTGGGGAAGACAAAGTGTAAAATACAGTCTTTCATGGTTTTTATTGCTCTTAGATCTCTTCAGAACATGAGTCAGTTGCAAAAAAAATCCCAATGACGGGGCTGTGTAGGGAACACACACTTGGGACCTTTTTTTGGTAGGGTCTGCAGAAATGCAGACTTCATGCTGAATGGACCTACATAGCTCTTTATGATGAACATTTGAAAGCATTGATACTGGATTTGTTCTCTCATTTTCTAGCACTGTGCACAAGGAGCCACTAGCAACCCTAATTTCAAATTAGGTTGGTTTTTAAAAACATATTTTCAAGTAGATCCAAGCTCTTTCTTGACTGCTGTCTTGAGAAAGTATGGTCTGAGTATGACAGTTCCTAGTTTTAAATAAAACCCATATTCTGAAAGTCTCCTAAACACTTTTCTTACCGCATTTATCTAACAAGATTGTAATACTAATATAAGAGGAGGTAGTTGCTGCAAGCATTCATGACTCTCTCCTGGAAACTGGAAAAATTTACAGAAAAAATGTGCAGGATTGCAGTGTGGGAGAGATACACAGTAAGCTGAAGCTCTAAAAACTGTTTGGAGGAAGGAGAAAGTATTTCCTGGGAATTTTGCAGAGGAGAAGGAAAGCAGCAACATTTTTATGTTGCTTTTACTGTTACCCAGAATGTAAAGGTTGTACTAAGCCCCGTGGTTTATCAAAATGAGTGTCTTTTCCATAGGTCTAAGGACATATTCAGGTGTATCCAGAGAGCTAACCTGGAGGTTTGATTGTGTTCTGAGCAGACACATCCAGCTTGCTCCCGTCTGATCTGCTCAGGCAGGAACAGCAACAGAGAGGCAGTGGCGCTCAGCTCTGCACAAACAGGGAAAGGTGGTGAGGATTCTGTGCCCTCACCCAGGCTGCTGATCCCTGCTCAGATGCCCATCCTAGATGATTGTCTTATTTTTATGGTTGGACAACAAAGCACACCTGGGAACATTGCTCAGCGCTGCTGCCATCACATATGATTCTGGCACAGTTCTGTCTGGAGAGCACATCATCAGATGATAATGATATCAGTAATTAAAGCCATTCTTATGATTTAAAGGGAATGCTTAATACAGCACAAAAAATTAAATACACCAACCAATACGTGACTCTCAGGTTAGCATGTTAGAGGACAGACAGAAAAAAGGTCTGAATAAATGGAATAAAGTTTCTTTACTAGGAATGGGCCTTATCCCACTTAAATGCTACATATTTTTCCCTTTTGCTATCTTCTTTTCATTGACAGTTTAACTTTAAAGGTTCTTGGACTTACTTTGTTTAATGACCACTACAGACTTAATGAAGGGTTTTGCTTGATGTACTCTGTAATCTTTGTACTTCTAATCATGCTGTTCTTACAATGAACAAAAGCATAGCTTTTGTGGTGATAGAAAGTATTTACCTCCACAATTGCCTAATCAACAAAAGCCTACTGAAATTTACAATATTCTTTTCAGTGAATTCTATGGGATTTGGGTGTTTCTCTGTACTGAATATTTCAAGGTTTCATAAGGGGCTTATTTCTGAAAGGTACATTTTGTAAAATATCTATTTTTCCAAATAAGTAGATTAGCAATGTCCCCAGAATTCCTTTTGGCACGAACAAATAAATACTGAAGCAATTGATTAATGTAATTTTAACAGCATGAAAAATAACAGTCCATCAAAATGGAGCTTTTCAAAGTCTTGACCTTAGCTATTATTATACCTTTTGCTGAGGTATCAGTCTACCTATTTAAACAAGCAGCACAAATATCTCCATCATCCAGACACAGATGTATACGTGATGAGATTTCTATACTTCAGAGGGACTTCATAATACCCAAACTATTGTGTTTATAAATACAATCTTTTAAAAGATACTGCTTTCACATTTTCATTCAAAGCCACTAGAGAATCTAAAAATTAACAGATGTGTAAAAAAAGAATCTTAAATGCAAACCCATGAAAATATGGATACTGGTATTTAGATTACATTAAAATTTCAGCATCTAAAACATCAAGTATATTAAATTTTGCATTACAATGAGCAAGGTTGTAAATGAAGAGGGATGTTCACTTTGGGTGACATTACTTCTATTTTACAACTCTGTAATGAAAAGAGTAATAGAACATGCTGATTCAATTTTTTTGGTGAATATTTAGCAAAATACTGCTCTTGATACATACTCAAATTAATTGTGCTCATTATACACTAGTGGGCACACTCACTAGTATGCCCTTTCTAACTCCTCAGTGCAGGTTTTGTATCATAAAATATTTATGTTTATGAAGTGTTGTTTTGTTGGTAATAGTAGATGATAGATCAGAATTACTAAAGTAAGAATACATTTTATGTCTGTCTAATATTTTAGGGAAAACTCAGCCTTCCCTTTAATCTTCAGTCCAACAAAGCTTTAAAATACACTTCAAGTTTGAAAATCTAAGCTGCAGAGGTCCACTCAACTGGGATTTGCTCGGAATAAGAAAAAGTAATAAAGAATGAGAATCCTGCTCAGATAGTCATCAAGTTCCTAGCATTCAAGAATTAATAGGAAGTCTTGAAAAAGACTCTTCAACTGTCTGCCCATGGGCTGCTTGTAATTTGCAAACTGAATAGAAGGTTCACCAGATTAACCTTAGAAAGACCGCCCCGTTCCATTGCACAAAGTGTAACAGCACCTTGAACAGCAGCCACAAGCACCTTCCCTTCCACCTCTCAGACATGGAACAGGAGATGTGAGTACACTTGTGATTCTCTCTCTTTCTGCAAGAGACATGCCACAGCTCTGTTTCTGGCCTGTCCATTCCAATAGTTTATTCCACCTTATCACCTTTAAAAACTTTTGAAGGGTCACTTCTTTTAGGTTTCCATGACTCAAGAGTAGAGACCAACTAACATGAAGAGCATCTATTTTCTTGAAATTTAATGAAATTTTTAGTTTGCATAACACTTTATCTAAGCCTAACAGACACAGTTTGTATGCTATCAGAGTCATGTCCATACTGCTCCTTGGTCAAGTGGTTTACATCCATGTGGATTGTTGAGCTATCCCCTCCTCCAGACCCTTTGGCCCTTCTGGACCAGATCGGTTTTACAGCATCCTTGTACCAGTGAGCTGCTGCAAAGAAGCTAGAGAGGTGGTCCATGTTTAGCTCAATGAATAGGGTAATACATACCATTACAAATTAATTTGAAAAAATTTCTGAGTAACATCAATTAAGAAGAAAGCAGAAATGGTCTTTTGCACTTAGGAAATGGGCTGGTCAATGACAGACTGGTAATAACTACTTTCAGCAACACAAAGGCATTCAAGGTTTTGCCTACAGAATGCTGATTTGGAGACAAAGACTACTTCAAGATCTGTGTTTAAGTTCAGCGCAAAATACATGAAAAACTGGCTTTTCATAAAGATTCATTGCAGAAAGCAGTCATTCTTGAAAATGGTTTGGCTGCTGAAAGAAAAAGCAGCCAGCAGTTAGGTCTTGCATACAACTTGATGTAACCCTTATTGATGCTGGAGGAGATTAGATTAGTGTTTCAAATTTATGTTCTTCTTGCATAAATGTCTTGTTACACAAATGAAGAATCATTATGTGCATACATTAGATTAGTTGAGGTCACCTTGAGTGGGAAGATTAAAACAAGTGAAGTACAGCTAGTTGAATCAATTTAAATGAACTTTTTTTCCTTGGCTGTTCTGGTGCACCTTGTACATGCAACTCAAAATCTGTAGGAAAGGGGAATTTATTTTGGTGTATTTTCCTA